GTTGCCACCACAATCAATCCTGCAACCATAGTATTACATGTAGTAAAAGTGGATAGCAGGGTTACTCCCCAAACTGATTATACTCATTCAATTACTATGCATGCAACCAAAGAACTGCATGACTGTATAATTTATCCTAATCATGTGGACAAAATATCTGCATTTGCAACACAGAGACTGCAAAGACAATGTGATTACCACCTCTGAGCTAGATAACATTGCAAAATGCATTGTGTAACTTAAAAACCAACATATTTTATTTGTAGCTAGTTTTTGTGGATTGCAGTAATCTCATCACATGCCAAATAAAATCAGTTATTTCTAAGGTGCCACAAAGTCTTTTTGTTGTTTTGCCTCAATAAACTAACAAAAACATAGCCCTAGTAACAGTTACTATGTAATCCATGAACTTCTGAAAATACATATCTAATTAAGCATACTTCTATAGTTGAGAAAGCATACACTTCTTTCTAAAACAACCAACATAAAATATTCCAAGAATTATTTTTATATAATATAGTGCATGCCACCCTACAGCTACACAGAATCAATCTCTCTTCCAGAAACAGTGAATAAAGGAGTGTTTAAGTACGTATAACATTTGAATTTGACCATCATTTAAATAGTAATATTTATATTCTACCACTAAACAAAAATGATTTCCTTTAGCCCAATAGAAAATACTGTAATTTTCTCAATTATCATAGGCTTTTGATATTTTTTTATCTTTGCTTTTTGTTCTGTAAGTGTATATCAGTGTTTTTCAACCTGGGGGTCAGGACCCCTGTGGGGGTCACGAGGGGGTGTCAGAGGGGTCACGAAAGCCCATCCAAAAACATCGTATTTTCCGTTGGTCATGGGGGTTCTGTGTGAGAAATTTGGTCCAATTCTATCATTGGTGGGGTTCAGAAGGTTATTTCATTGTGGGTGAACTATAAATCCCAGCAACTACAACTGCCAAATATCAAGGTCTATTTTCCTCAAACTCCTCCAGTGTTCACATTTGAGTATTCGTGCCAAGTTTGATCCAGATCCATCATTGTTTGCATGTACAGTGCTCTCTGGATGTAGGTGAACTACAACTCCAAAAACTCAAGGTCAATGTCCACCGGACCCTCCCAGTATTTTCTCTTGCTCATGGGAATTCTGTGTGCCAAGTTTGATTCGGTTCTATCGTTGGTGGAGTTCAAATGGCTCTTTTATTTTAGGTGAACTATAAATCTCAGCAACTCCAACTCTCCCAAATTACAAAATCAAACCCCCAACTCCACCAGTAATCAAATGTTGGCGTATTGGGCATTTGTGCATCCTGCATATCAAATAGTTACATTACAATTCATAACAGTAGCAAAATTGCAGTTATGAAGTAGCAACGAAAATAATGTTACGGTTGAGGGTCACCACAACATGAGGAACTGTACTAAGGGGTTGTGGAATTAGGAAGGTTCAGAACCACTGTGTATATTAACATTGGCTGAATCAGCATCTTAAGAAAAAGCAGACTACCAAGAAGGATACTTGTCCTAATGTACCTGTATGTTTTATACCTTGTTGTTAGCCGCTTTGAATCCCCAATGGGAGAGAAAAGCAGGATATAAGTTAATAAATAATAATAACACTTTTCATAGTCTGAACATTTATTCTTTTAATCCAGGACTATCAATACTGATTGCCAATGGTTTCAGGGTTTCTTCCTTTTCTTTACCTGCAGGTGACAGATACTGAACCAGGATTTTCTACATGCAAAGCATATGTTTTACCATTTAATTATGGTATCATTTTCTCTTTCATACGCAGCCCAAGGTAAAATGAGACAAAAATGGAGCAACACTGAAAGAAAAGAAAAATTCTCTGGTGCACAGTTTTCTTTATTCTCATATTTCAGTTGACATACTGTAATGGTTGTATGAAAGACACTTGTTCGACCAAGTGTGGGTTTGAATGGGACCCACTATACAAAAATACAAAAAGCCCAAGTATAGGGAAGAATGAAAAGCACACCAACTAAACAATGCAACAATGCAAACGATGCAGGACCTGGTTATAAGGATAAAATTCTCTTTCAATCACAAGGCCAGTTGATCAGCAATACTATCAGGTTAAGATAAACAACAAAAGCCTTCTACAGAATACAGCAAAACTATATTTAAAGCCAAGAGAAAACAGCCTTAATACATACATAATGATAAAGGAATTTCTTGAAAAGTTCAGCTGAGGACTGTACTCACCTCACTTTACCCAAATTGGAAACTCCCAATAATCATAGCTTAAAAAATTTCCCATAATAGAAATGAAATGTTTTCATCAAATGACATGCACTGAAATGGGAGACAATTCTCTGTATGAAGAATATAACTGGTATTTTATCCCAGAAAGAGTAATAATTCTTTCCAAGGAAGCAGCATACCAGATCCACCCAAGTCACAGTGTTACCAATAGCAACAAAAGAGCAAACAAATAATATGTGAGCAAGGAAGGTTTTTTGTATTGACCCACCACGCTAAACAAATGTAAGCACTGTTTTTCATGAGGTAGAAAGAGTAAATAGTGGGTTGAAAAGAGGTAAATCCCCATTAAAGGAGAGTGTTGTTTTGTGGTTGCTCATAGACCGACAACTCAGATTATCCTATAAATCAGAGTTCTTAGGTTAATTGGTAGGAAARTAGGCTCCAAATCTGTTTCACAGTTGGCATAAGAAAAATTAAATGTTATGTACCCTACCACTACCTTTCACAATTGTGTGGCAGCCATGTATTTTTCACCTCCTTGGACTTTTAGTTTGTAATGAAATGGCAGCTGGGGGGGGGGGGGGGAACAAGATTTCAATGCTAGCCACAGTGCAGGGATCCCAACAAAAAGTTACCATGGTCAAAAATCGCCTGCTGTTCATGCTAATGAAACAGAACTGAAGAAGAAATGCTTTTCACTCAACACCCCCATACACAGGATGTAAATACATTCTTTGGGATGGGGAAACAAGGGAACAAGAACTTAAACAGCAAAGCTGCATGAAAACACACTCATCTTTGTCTTTTAGAAATTGATGCCCTTTTCCAAGAGAGCCCCTTTGATAAGGATCCCTTTCAAAGACAACCTCCCGATCTAGATTAATGGATTTCCACAGTATGCACAACACAGAATTTGTTATTACTATTTTTTCCAATTCTAACATACCTTATATAGTTACATACGTACACTTTTTATAAATCTGCCTATTTGTTTAAAAATAAAGTTTGGCAGAATGTTAGATGTACAACTCTGTTAAGAAGGATTTCAAAAGAGTAGCTTTGTTGTATTATTACTCTAAGAGAGTAAGGAATACTGCAGTACTCCAAACCAAAAGTAACCAATTTATTGTGGCATAGGCTGAAACAGTCTGTTTCAAGATGCCTTCTTCAAGCATGAACTGATTCCAGGCCAGTCTGCACTTCAACTTCATGGGACACATATTCCTTTAGTAATTATATGCTGTAGTATCAAGTATGTGGTTTCCTATTGGGACACTATTTAGTCCCAATCATATGGGAGCTCTGTATAAGAGATAGTGTGCTCTAGAGCACTGCTTCTTAAACTGTGGTTCCTGACCTCAAATGGTCCTTAGCTCAATGTTAGGTCCCAAAAATTTGGCAGCAGTAAATGTTTTCTGAATGTTACCAGGTGGCTGTTTCAGACAGCATTAATCTGTTGTGCAGTGTTTACAGAGGACTCTGCAGAAGATGCTTCAGATGTACTTCATAAAAAGGAAAATCAGCCTGTTTAGCAAGCCTTGAAAATGCTGAATTGTCATCAGCAAATGTTTGATTTCTATATCTATTTTGTAAAGGGATTGTGAGTGGAAAGGTTTAAGAAGTCCTATTGTAGAGTACTGGAGTTGGACAAATCCCTGTTCTCAGTGAACACTGTCAAAAGAAGTCACAGTAGGAAAACTCTGCATGTATGTATGTCTTTATGAGGAGTCTGTTATACCTCTTTGGCTGTAAATTCTTTAACGGTAGTGCATCTTGGTAAATAATTTAGATGGCCTCTAAGCAAATGAGAGGAATAAATCTAAAATTTTACTATACATGCAGACTGTGCAAGTAACAATTTCTTTTCTCCCTTAAGAGGAAAGCAGCAGTATATTGATATAAAACACTGTTAAAAACAGACTGAGAGGAATTGGGTGTCGAAAGGGACCTGAAAGTTTGGTTTCAAAGGCCCTTGCTTTAATTCTTAGTTTAGTTATTCAACAATAAATGCGATCAAGATGCCAGTTCTCTTTTCCTCAGGTGACATAGCAGAGTAACTTCAACTACTTTCCCCTTCACAAAGAAGAAGGCGAGTGGAGTGGGTCAGAGAATACTGAATGCTATATTTTCTTTCTGAGTGTGACAAAAGAGCATTTGCTATTCTGCCGTTTCATGTATCTATGGGAAGTTCAGGGATATATCCGCTTTGTATGTGGAAGCCATACTGTATTCATGGATAACTAAAATCCCATTTCATGTGCTTTTGGAAGTCAGTGAGAAGAATATAAAAAAGGCTCCAGCAAGTTTAAAGTTATTCATACAGAAATTCAAAAATGTAAACTGCCCCTTTTTGAAGAATCTGAAGCAGGATTAACCGTTGTGCTGGGTTATGCATAGGAGTCTGTTTCCTAAAATTTCCCCTTGTACATTTGTAATATTGAGTGCTCTCTTTGACTGAAAGAAAATTAAATCAAGAATCTGCCATACTGGAACATCTCATTATTTATGGAAGTTGTAGGACATGTAGTATGCCATTTCTCCAAGTGCCTAGAACATCTTGTATAGACAAAATGTCTACACAACAAACTCAACTAACAGACCCAAAATTCTGGGAAATACTTGCACCATTTTGCAACATTTTTAGTATTTACAGAATTCAGCTTTCGAGGTTGCAGAATTCAGGTTGTTGTTAAGTGTAGTCTAAGATCTCTGCTGACTCAAACATCATTCATATTTCTGCTCTAGATTTAAATAAACCAGAAGACAACTTACCGAAGCAGCAGTTCCTTGGGAAGCTTTTTGTTGATTGCAGCCTCATCATTGTTTGAGAACATCTGCAAGAGAAAAAGCAACAACACACATTTAGCCTTTTTATTATGGACCAATAGCTCTTACAAGCAAAGTTTGTACACCACCCTCATAAGAGAAAATCTCCTTTTGAATCAATTACACTTAATTTTTTGAGTTTATTTTGATATTTCAAAACAGGTAGTGGAATAAGGAAAACTATTCCTAAAAAAATCAATATTTTCACACTTTGATTTGTCATTCATTTGTTCAGTCATTTCCGACTCTTCGTGACCTCATGGACCAGCCCACGGCAGAGCTCCCTGTCGGCCGTCACCACCCCCAGCTCCTTCAAGATCACTCTTGCTGGAACACAATTGTCTACCAGACACAGATCTGTAGATACAGCCTGAGGTGAGCAGACCTGAATCCAAATAATGTTTTCTTTTTATTAGATCAGCTGAATGAGTTCTGTTTTTCTTAAGGATATAACTGTTCCCCTGGGTGAGTCCGCCCCCTGGAAGTATGGAGCTCAAATCATTTGCTCGAGTCATCCTGGATTGATGCCTGTTTGTTTGTACTCTCTGCTTATGAAGCATTTATTTTTTTCAAGGGATCTACAGACAGTTGTGCATCTGTATTCAAATAACACTGCTAACTCCTCGAGTATATAATGTTAAACAAAACATTCCATCTCTGACTATTCAGTAGTTTCAGGAAAGGTCTTTTCAAGCCCAGCTACTTCATGATTTGAATACCCACAATGTACAAATCATATTGAACATAAGCAGATCTGTGTCTGTTCAGTGTCTGGATGAGTACCCAATGTAAGTTTTCAGAATGGAAGAAAGGTAGGGCAGATATAGGAATATAAATAATTATACCCATGCCAAGTTAGAAAATGGGTCCTTCTAGCACAAAAAATGTCTGCATCAGCCATGAACAACCTGGTTTCTAGCTATGTTAAACTAACAGTAATATTTATCCCCAGTCATCGTATTCACTGTGGATCTGATAATTGTAACCAGATGAGACAGCACCCAATCAAGGAGTAGTGGTGCACACAGACTACTAGCAAGCCGTCAGGTTTTTAGGACCATTTCCCAGGCATCCCATTATTTGATGGCTTCAACCTTAATGGAGAATTAGTCTATACCAATCTATGAGATTTTATTTCTCATGAAATAACATAACCTGAAAACAGAATAAAACTCTAATGGATTCGAAAATTTTCCTTTAAAAAAAAATTCTTTGTGTCCCATACAATATAACACATTGGGGCAAACAAGCAAATTCCATGCCACTCTTTGGTGGGAACACAATGCAAAGAAGCTGGCGTGTTTAAGACATAAAGGAATGCACTAGTACTGTTGGGACCATCTGGTAAAAAGCAATAATTAGAATAAACATTTGTGGACTGCTGCCTACTTTGTTATTATCTTTTTATGATATCATGACAGGCCGACCTGGTGGAGACAACCAGAGAGAGTTCATCACAGAACAGCAAGAGAAATCATCCAGAGCTCCCCAATGTCAAAGAAGAATACAAACATAAGAAACAATGTCAGCAATCTTTGCACTGGACTTTATAGAACACATTATTTGCCATATAGTCTGTGAAAGAAAAAGGTACAGTTTGTATTAAGGACATGGAAGAAAGGGAACCCAACCAAAGTCAACCCTGGAAAAACCCTTTGACGTCACTGACCTCAAACATACTTTGGCCAATTGCTCCTGGTGGGGATATGCTAAAAAAAGGTAGCATCCTGTTTTGGTGTGATGTTGCTTCAGAGCAATTATGAGTCTGTAGATACTTTGTGAATTAATTCACAAGATATTTGAGATTCCACAATACGGACATACATGTGGTGCGTAAAGGTTTGATAAATATGGCTGTTAGGAGAATGTTTTGTTTGGCAGCTTCAACTGTGGTACACATCATGGACAGATGTAACTGAAGTTTATCTCTGAGCTCAACCAGCTGCATTCCAGCAATATATATCAAGTTATCCAGAGTGGAAATTATTACCGTTCCCACTTTAAAAATGGACAAAACTCGGTATTATTTTTTTTAAAGGATGACCTGAAGTTAGTCATGGGTCCCATCTACACTGACCATTTAATATAGTTTCAAACCATTATTGAAGAAAGTGGTTTTACTATGCAGATGATTACATAGGAAATACTGGAATCAGTGGGAGGCACAGATGTTTACACAAACCACAGAGCACTGATGCACATTAACGGTTTTCTTTCATATGCTTTTGTGGGTGGGTGTTGTCTGGCAGTCACAGTTTGAAGCTAGCTTTGAACTGCATTAAATGGCCAATGTAGATGGGGGTATGATATACAGAAATGTCACTTCCAATAGCTGCTGACTCTACCTGTGTGGTCCATCCAAGGTTGAGCCTTGCTGCATGCCCTCTTCCAAATCAGCCAGGTAAAAATATAGCAAAAAATTTGAAGGTGCTGTAATGCTAAGGCATCATAGCTTCTGGGGAGAGAGGTGTACCTGGACAGACGAGACTGATGTGTCATGGGAATCCAAGCTTTTGATTATAGTGTGATTATAACACTACTCGTACTTTGCATTTCCATGCTAAACAAAATATTACTGGAGATGACTTTTGCATCAAGTTAAAATTGGTAGAAAGGCCTGCCATCCAATGAATGCTGACACCATTTGACAGACTAAACCATACCCCTACCTCAGTTATTTCTAGTCAGGCTGCTGATAGAAAGCTAATTAACAATTAATAATCATTTGGGGAAATCTGATTGCAAAAACTACTGCAACATCCAAATGACATGCTGTGGTTGTCTGTGAAGGAGCTGGCAAACACATTGACCTCTTATTGGGAGAAACCTTCAAGTGCAGACTATTTTGTTATTACAGGAGAAAATTGCCTCACAGTATCATTAATGATAGGCCCCGTTGCAAAAAAAAAAATATGTTTGTTTTCATTCAGTACTTCCTAATTTGAGTTTCATAACAAGGTTTATTCTGGTTTTATTTCTGAAGAATAGTGGTATTATTTTTAGTACTCAGAAGTAGTTTCCAGAAAAGGAGATATGCCAATGTCCGCAAACAAATGTTCTTTTTATGTTAAGTTCTGCTTTCTGGGTCTGTGTATTTCAGTTTTGTAGAATACCCTTGATTCTATTCTCTCAAACACTTCTGCAGATATCTGCAGTGTTCCCACAATCATATCTGATTCTGTGTGCGGCCTCCAAGTTGCTGTTACATTGGCGATCCCTCATGTCAGAGTATGATTGCCTTTCAAGTGTAGGGTATTGGTGGTAGGTCCGTAGGTGAATGTAGAGACCTGTTCTTGATTTGGCTGTCTTCTGCAGTGAGGACATCGGTTTTCAGATGGAAAGTGGTCCAGGTCAGAGTTGGCTTGATGTGCTTTCCTCTTAACACATTTCTCCCCTCTCCCATTTGTGCCTCTTCAAATTCCACAGCACTGCTGGTCACAGTTGACCTCCAGTGAGAGCGCTCAAGGGCCAGGGCTTCTCAGTTCTTGGTGTCTATACCACAATTTTTAAAGTTAGCTTTAAGCCCATCTTTAGATCTTTTTTCCTGTTCATGAACATTCCGTTTTCCATTCTTGAGTTGAGAGTAGAGTAACTGCTTTGGAAGACCACATGGCCAGTCCGGCAAAGTTTATGGTGGAGCACTATCACTTCAATGCTGGTGATCTTTGCTTCTTCCAGAATGCTGACATTTGTCCACCTGTCTTCCCAAGAGATTTGCAAGACTTTTCAGAGGTAATGCTTATGAAATTGTTCCAGAAATTAGCCGTGGTTTGTATACGGTCCTGGTTTCACAGCGTATAATAGGGTTGGGAGCACAATAGTTTTAATAAACTAGCATCCTGATATCCTTACGATCTTCAAACACTCTCTGCTTCATTGAGAAAAAGGTTGCACCCACAGAGCTCAGACAGTGTTGTATTTCAGTGTCGATGTTGACTTTTGTGGAGAGGTGGCTGCCAAGGTGGTCTACATTTTCTAATGCTACACTATTAAGCTATATTTCTGGCATTGCAGAGGGATTGGCTGGTGCCTGCTGAAAGAGCACTTTGGTTTTCTTGATGTTCTGCTAGCAGCATCAGAACTACTCTAGGAAGAATTATCAACTGGTTTAGACCTCTATTGATAGTTGTTCCAGATTAAGCTATTTCCTGGACCATACTGTTTATTCCACAAAAGCTGGCTCACACAGAAAACGTTCTCCATTGGGTAAGTTAAGTGGTGCTGGCTGTTATTTTAACATTATTTCCAACTTGCACTCCTAAAATAGAAAGTTGGAAGGACCTGTGGAAATTTAGGAGGCATGCGTCACCCAATAGTTTTCTCTCCATCCATCAATCTATAGTTTTCTCTCATCCATCAATCTATCTTCCTCCCACTACTCTTATAGTTCTATACACATTCGCTGAAGATGTACCAAAAGCTATGGCAGCTACACTCAATGACATTGCAGATTTGTCCTATCCATATCCTCATTTTCTTTTAAGTAATTTACCACGTTACATTTGGCATATTTTTATTTGTTTCTTCCATTGAAATGATGACTTCTGGCAGGTCTACCCAGTCAACTCTGAATCATGGGTTTTGAATTTACATTCTATTACTGCTATATGTTGATTTTGTACCCCGTGTTTAGTTTATGTTTAAATAACTATGTGTTTTTATCTATTTATATTATTGTATGTGTTTTATGTTTGTACATTTCTCCTGAAGCTTTTAGGAGAAGCAGGCAACATCATCATCATCATCATCATCATCATCACCATAAACCATATTAGGAGTTTGAGAAAAATCACCCATAGAATGCCAATTAAGATAAAATAGCAAATTATAATTAAATAAACTTAATTTATTTCCCTCATTCTGTCAACAGGTTTTCTATCCTAACTGTAAGTTAAGTTCCAATTCTTTAAAATGCTAGGCCCTCCTTGTAGAAAGTGAAGGAGACAAGAGGAATTTACAGTCAGCTAGAAGTGTTAAATGGTTCCAAAAGACAGAAACATAAGCATGC